GAATGCATGGACAAATACATAAGACATAAAAAGGAATGACGTTCTGATACACGTTACAACATGCATGAGCCTTAGAAACACTGTCCTCACTGAAGGAAACCAGGTGCAAAGATCACATACTGTATGATTGTATTTATGTGAAATATCCAGAATAGGCATCCATAAAAGCAAAAACTAGAATAACAGTTGTGTAGGGTTGGGGGAAAGAAGGAACTGTGACTGCTAAGAGGGATTTCCTTTGGGGGTAATTAAAATGTCCTGGAATTAAACAGTTGAAATAGTGGCATAGCCTGATGAATCTGCTAAAACTCACTGAATGTCCAATTTTAAATAGTGAGTTTGGGGGTACAGCGGTAGCCATCTGTAGTCTCAGTTACTCAGGAGGCTGAGATGGAAGGAACGCTTGGGCACAGGAGTTTGGGGCTAGCCTGGGCAATACTATATGAGACCCTATCTGAATTATTAAGAAGGTGGGTTTCTTTTTTGTTTTTCTTCCAATATGGAATTGAACCCAGGTCACTCTGCCACTGAGCTTTATCCCCAAACCTTTTGCTTTTTTAATTTTGAGACAGATTCTCAAACTGTCTCCTGAGTTGCTGGGAGTACAAATGTGTGCCAACATGCCTGGCAAAAGGTGAGTTTATTTGTGAAAAATTTTAGATGAATTACATTTCAATTTAAAAAATAAAAGCAGCAGAGAAAAACATACTTAAAAAATGTAATTTCAACTAGGTCAAATGTATAAAAAAGAACATAAAATTCCTGTCTCTGACTGATGGGAAAATGAATGGCTTTTTATTTTCTCCTATAATTTTTGTTTTGCATATAATTTCCAAATTTTCTAACTTGACCATGTATTACAAACGAATATGAACTTCCCCTAAGAATGTAATTCAAATGGAAGAATACATTTCTTTAGCATCAAGAAACCTTTTGCATCAGGCACAGTGGTGCATGCCTGTAATCCCAGTGGCTCAGGTGGCTAAGGCAGGAGGATTTTAAGTTCAAAGCCAGCCTCAGCAAAACCAAGGAGCTGAGCAACTCAATGAGACCCTGTCTCTAAATAAAATACAAAACAGGGCTGGGGATGTGGCTCAGTGGTAGAGTGCCCCTGAGTTCAATCCCCAGTACCACCCACCCAGAAAAAGAAACCATTTGCAAAATGGACACTGAAGGGAGCTTATCAGGTAAGGGAAAGCTATTTCCATGTGCCATGGCACTGGTGGAGAACTGGTAATCCTGCCTGTCAGTTCCTTATAGAATTCCTAAAGCAGGGGTTAGGCTGCTGGAAGGCTGAGGTATTGGGGGAGGCACTCTGCACAAGCTTTCCTAAGTACGTGCTCTTATGCTAAACTGCATGGTTGAAATTTGCAACTACAGCTTCTATATTTGTAATAAATTTTTGAAACTGGGCAAGTGTACATGTATTTTGAAATGACCCCTATAAGCCAAAGGAGAATTCTATTTGGAAAGGCAATTTATGCACAGGCCAAGAGAAAGGGAAATCCAGCTGTATAAAATGGGTATTTTTAAATTTTATTAAAAAAACAACCTCCCAAATTCAGTTAGACAGTTATAAAAATCTAACACCATCTACTCTGCTTTTAAGCAGAAAGTTGAATATAATTTGTTCACCTTCAATCTAATTGAGTCACTAAAAATGCACATGGATATAGTTATACCACATTCAGACATTTGCTTTTAATTTCAAGGCATTTAGATTTACAGACTATCTTGAATCCCTCCTAAAGGATCAGAAGTTGAGGCAACTGGAAGAAGCACCAGCAGGTCCCTTGTTCCAATATTAGCTGCAGCATAGGATATGATCAAGCTCAACAGGGCCAGTACAAGAAAGACAGAGTAAGCCCTGTCCTCAAAGCTCTTCTTGTCTTTAACATCTGTCATCAAATGTCAAAGTCACAGCTCTAAAAAAAAATAGCAAAAGATGCATCCTGCTGGTCAGTAGGGAGGAGCTGGGCTGTGGCAGGTCTTTCTGCTGAGTCTGACACACTCTCAAGCCCATTCTCATTATCTTACTGTCAAAGTCACCAAGGGTTTAAAGGTTCTGAATGACACAGGGAAGAGGGTAATGGAGGTACTGGCAGGGTGTGGCATGGCCAAGGGAAGAAGCAGCAAGGCAGAATCTCTGGCCAAGATTCTTGGCTGACTTACTACCTGCTCCTTGAACACTTTCCAAAGAACTTACTAACTTTCGTTGAAATGTGGCATATATTAAGGGGTATCAAGATATACCACCATGGTTCATTTCAAAGTTTATTCCAATATCCTGAAAAAAATCTGGTAGCCAAGAAGGATTTCAAGAGTCTACAATGGGTCAGGTACTGTGGCACATGCCTGTAATCCCAGCAATTCAGGAGAGGCTGAGGCAGGAGGATAATTTCAAAGCCAGCCTCAGCAACTTAGTGAGACCTTCAAAATAAAATATAAAAAGGGCTGGGATGTGGCTCAGTGGTTACGCATCCCTGGGTTCAATACTCAATATTAAAAAAAAAAAAAAGCAGCAAGAGTTCACTATGGAAGCAACCAACCAGCACAGGGAGGAGGCAAGGGACCAGGGAGTATCAAGTTTTTTAGGCAGAGTGCCAAGCAGCTAAACTGGGAGTTTAGGGTGTCCTCTTTCTTCCCTGAGCTTTCTGTAGGGAGCAGGGTCAGTAGTCATGACTTTTGCCAGGCCCCTGCCACTGAGGATTGAAGAACACAGATGGAGAAGGTATGGCCCAGTTGGCCCAGAGCAAGGTAATGGCAGGGACCAGGCTCAGTGTGAATATCACTTACAGTAAGAACTTTTACATCTCCCAGCAGCCAAGCAACAGTAAGTCAATTCTTGGAGAACTGGATTGCCTAGTTGAAAAGGCTGAAGGAAATTCTGCTGCCTTTCTAGAAACTCATTTTTAAGGGGGAAAAAAAAAATCTTTGAATGCTGTGGAGCACCTACTATCAGGACTTGGAATGGTTGCTGGGTCATGGTAACTGGGACAAAAAAAAAAAAATGGTTCAGAGGAAGAAGCTGAGTTTCTTTATAAGTCAAATGATTCAGAGAAATGTGTGAAGAAGACAGCTGTTCATGTAGATAATAAACAAAGAACTCATGGTATTGAGAAGGATTTTCTTGCCAAGGATTTATAACCTGAAACTCCCTTAAAAACCTCATGGGAGAGGAAAGCAACACCTGAACAACTGGGAAGGGAAATTTACAAACTAGTTCTTCAAGAAAGTTTCAAACACAGAAGACCAAAAAAGGAAGGGACTAGGGGGAAAAGTTCAAGTGTTCCTAGTAGATCATGGCCATTGCCCCTGGGCACAGCAGTTGCCAGGAGATGAAATGGCTCCAATCCAGGAGCTTTGTCCTGGCTGAGTATGAGAAACAAGCACCTCTAGCCCTGTCCCCTTGAGACAGAACATGGCTGACAATCAGCCAACTGCTACTTTGACAGTGCTATACCTGTGTTATACAAAAAAAGCATTGTCTTTGCAAACTGAAGCAGAGCTCCTGTCAGTTTTTCCTACTCAGTTTCTCTGCCTAGTTACCCTGCTCACCAAGCCTTGGCTTGTTTAGAAGAGATCTCCCCTGACATGTTATATACCACTTTTGACCTTCCTTGGATAGGTGAGAACTATAGCATCTCCCAGGGAGACTCAAATTTATAGGCTATCCTGGTCATGAAATATCGCAGGGCTATTGTTCCCAGGTGATCCTAGAGCCCCTCTAAATGTAAAACAAAATCACCAGAAGCCTCCAGCCAATGGAGGAGAAGAATAGCACACAACAATGTATTCAAGCATCTTAGTTAGAGCCTATTTCCTGTCCAGTTAGCTGAATTACTGGTGCACAGAGCCTATCCTTATGCTCTACGAGCTCTGCCCAGAGGCCATGGGAGCTCAGGGGCTTCTAGTGGCCGGTGTTTATACTCAAATGCTTGAACCTCCCTGTCTTCAAGCAGCTCAATGTAGAGCTGAACTCAGCGCTGCCTAAGTCTCTGCTTGAACACAGTACAGAAGCCTGGCTTGAGTAGGACAGAGAAGGTGGCTAGCATGGGGAAATCAGGCAGGTTCTAAGGCTAACCACATACTTCTCAGGAGAGATGCATGCACTTCCCTAAAGGGTGTTTCTGTTAGCTAATTCCTTCAGTGACTTGAATTTTCTTTGAAGACATTTTCACCTATTTGTGAACTATTTTTTCTCTTGATACTAAAAAATAAGTCAATTTTGAACATAAGTTAGTATGAAAATCAGTATTATATAACTTCTATTTATTAAGTATAGAAAAAATATTTTGCAGTTCCAGTTGTATTTTATTTCAACAAAGTCATAAGTGAGCCCAAGCAGATAGGGCCTTGTGGCCTTGCCTGAAAACCTTGCTGTTGCCATCACCACTCTTCAGTCTGGCGTCCTGAGGACCAGCCTCTGATTCACCTACTCTGAGGTAGGTCTTGCGGGACAAGGAGGGGAGTCCACTGAAGTCCCAGAATCTTAGGGCTAAAAGGCTGAGAGTTAGAGAAGCTAATGGAGGTGAGGGGTGAATGAGTGAACAGGACACTAGCTCCAACTCCCTACCCTTGCTCTGCCTTTGATCAAAGCAGCTAAGTTTTTATGGTTTTGCATATGAGCTCACTGACCATGGATAAGAGACAAATGAGTATAGCATGTACCTCGTACAGTAGATGGAGCAGAGATTGGCTGCAGGTAAATACCCCTAGAACAGTGTGGGGTACACAGCGGATGTTCAAAAAATATTAGCTATTATTGTGTTTGGATTCCACATCAGATATTGTTGGAAGAATGGTTTGAAAATCACTGATCTGGCCCATTTTCCTCATTTAAAAAAATTAAAGCAGACATGATGGTGTGTCTGTAGTCCCAGCTTCTTGGGATACTGAGGTAGAAGGATGGCTTGGGCCCAGGAGCCAAAGGATGAAAGTGAAGCCCAGCCACCCCAGCCATCCATGTTCCAGTCCAGCCTCCCTCAGGAGAGTCTTACCAGGGTTCCATCTGTCAGGGTGCAGCCGGAGAAGCGTTTTGCAAGAAACCCTTCAAAGTTAGTCGTTCTCTGAATAGCAAAAAGAAGTAATTTCACCTCAATTTCCTTAGCTCTGGCACGCATGATTTTGGCAAGTTCTGCCCTTCAAAATGAAAAGATAAGAATGTCAAACAAACTGATCATTCAAGATTGAGGAGGTAAACAGCTTATATTCAGAAAAAATGTATATTATCATGTCAAACTGTGAGGTCTATTATCAACTTAGTCTAATGACTGGGGAACAGATATTCAATAGTCCTTCACATTCCAATATATTTCTTGGATGCCTAAAACTGTGGATAGTATTGGACCCTACATGTACTGTTTTTTCGTATACTTACATATCTATGATAAGATTTAATTTATAAATTAGGCAGAGTAAGAGATTAACAACAACTCCTAATAAAACAGAACAATTATAATAATATGCTGTAAGAAAAGTTATTTAAAACTTCTGGATTATTTATTTCCAGAATTTTCCATGGCAAGTAAAACCAAAATTAGGGGGAGACTAGTGTATGGACTCCTAAGAATTGTAAGGTGAAATTATGCACCAGTAAAAAAAGAGAAAACTCCAGGATTATGGATGCTAATTTGTCTACATGGTGACTACTATGTTTAAATCTTTAACCCTCTCAATAACTTGCTAATAATATACATGGTACTTTGGCATTTGGCATTTTACTAAAATGCATATATACATTATTTAACAACTCATGAATTACTCAATTATAAATCTGTCTTCCAGAGAGCTCAATAATCATCTCGGCACATATAGCAGGGACTCATGAGATACTGGAACACCCATGTGAAAGGTGAACGTATATGCTTTGGTGGTTCCTGCCTGTGAAGCTTATGTGCAACTCACTTGGGCATTCTGTTTTAGAATGTAGGTTATTAGGGAACAGTGACATGAGAGTTCTTAGTAAGTACTAAACTGTCATCCTCTTCCCACACAACTAAATGCCAAAATAAAAAATTAAGTGCCTCTGAGTTTATTTGAGAATGATGTATCTGTAGGACTCGAGCCAAAATTCTAACAAAAGAAGCTTGGCAGAAGCCCTGCCATTAGCTGAGACAACAATAGCAGGTACTAACGCCCACAGAGACTTGTTGGCTTTAGTTCACTTCCAGTCTCATAAGGATTCATCTTTTACAGAATTAGTTTACAAGTCTGCTGACTGTAGGTGAAAGAGAATTAATAAACAATTTTTCAAGGAATTCACCCTTTCTTTGCTAATTGGGATTTAGAAGGTGACAACCCCAATCAACCCTGAATCAATACTGTATTTTTTTAAATACTATGGTCTGAATCTATGGTAGTAAATGTGTTTCTTAAAACAATAGCCAGACAGAATGTGCAACACTAAAAGTGAACCCTGTTTAAACTATGGCCAATAGATGAGGATGATGTATCAATGTAGGTTCCTCCATTGTAACAAACATACTACTCTGGTGGGGGATGTTGATAACAGGCAAAGTTGCATGTGCAGAGAGGCAGGGAGTATATTGGAAATCTCTGTACTTATGTGCCCAATTTTGCTGTGACTCTAAAATGGCTCCCAAAATGGTTAAAAAAGCCAATGTGACTTAAAACATTTCCCCCCTATAATGTGTTTAAAGCATCCATTTTGACTGTATTTTCTCTGATTTTAAGAAATAAGGTCACTGAGTTATGTTTAGATCTGGCTTTTTTCCCCTCTTATTAACCTATAGACAATGTAATTAGTACTGTTAGATGGGAATATATAACTAATAAAACCAGTTACCACCACTGTTGTTGTATATGTACAAAGAATAAGAAAGCTTGGTTCTAGTTTTACATTTGTCATAGACACACTGATCTAACCTTGCTGGGCTCTAATTCTTCAAAATAAAGGTCTACGTAGTCTGGGCTATACTCATGGGTAATGCAGAGAGAGCTTTAAAATGCTTAGAACACTCAGATGCCAATATTATCAATAATAGACCATAAACATTGTATTAGGGAAATTCATTCAACAAGTATTTCCTGAGTGACTGTCATGTCCTTAAAGTAGATACTACTTCTGTCTCTATGGAACTATCTATCTAACAAGTCAGAAAATCTACATGATGATGAACATGTACACTGAAGGCTATTATACATAATACAGAAACAGAGGAAAATGTATAGGTAAACTTAGTTGATGAGTCCAGAGTTGGTAAAGGACAGAAGGTATGCTGTTTGAGGCAAGCACTAGGCAACAGGAAAACTTGCAGCCAAGTTGGGAGCTAAGGGTTGCTATATCTGGTAGAGTCTGGAATCAGTACCCAATCCACAGGACAATATGAAACCAAAGTGGGAAACTGATTTTGAAAATTCAATTAGAAATAGCACCAGTAAAGAGCTGGAATATACCTTGTCACATGGCAGAATTCTACTGCAATCCTCTCAGTCATATACCATTCCCGTGGAAACATTCGGCCATATTTCTCTTCATAGTCCACAAGCTGGCGTTTTACCCAGGCGTAGCGTCTATCAATTTTGTCTAGCCAGGCAACCTCATGAAGGGAAGAAACAAAAAACACTCCAGTGCTTAGATGTAGTATTGACAGTTTGAGGGAAAAAAGCAAAAACGTAGAACAAAGAGAATGACAGCCATTCTGTATTCCTCACCATTTGAAAGAATATATGCTACCATATTTACTTGGTCCAGAGGTTCTTAACCTGGAGTCTGTAATTGGCCTTTATGGTTTTGCAAATTTCCTGAAACTGTACATAAAGTTTTTTTTGGGGGGAAAGGGTTGGGGCCTCGAGGAGGGTACCAGGGACTGAACCCAGGGGCACTCAACCACCGAGCCACATTCCCCAGCCCTATTTTGTATTTTAGAGACAGGGTGTCACTGAGTTGCTTAGAGCCTTGCTTTTACTGAGGCTGGATTTGAACTCCTGATCCTCCTGCCTCAGCCTCCCTAGCCACTGGGAATACAGGCATGCACCACCGCCCCTGGTGTACATACAGTTTTATACATTGGTGCACTTTTCTGGGAAGAAGATCTACAGCTTTTATTAATTTATCCAAATGGTTAGTGACCTCAAAAATGGTTAAGAATCATTGAACTATAAAGTCAGTCCCTAGGATTCAAGGTTCAATAGATCATAGTACTAATAAAGTATCAATCAACATACTTGGCTGCATTCATTTTGCAATAAAATTCAAGTGTTAACTCTGACCTCATCTGGTCAATACTTACATCTTGATTTTCTTGAAAAAGTACTAGATACTCTGACAGATGTTGTTTAATAAACTTCTTAATGATTTCTTGCTTGATTTTGGGGTCCAAAATATTAGCAACCAGACATGCATCTCGCAGAACGTTACTGGGTCCTCCTGGCCTCTGGCAAAACAAACAACACACAGCAATTCAAATATTAGAAACAATCATTAAATCTCATAGTTTCTGACAGCTGCTACTTCTTGTTTCTCTCTTATTGTTATTACTCCCACTCCCTGGACACTGATTCTTTCTACTGTAGATAGATATTTTAGTTTATTTGTTCCTCGATGAAAGAATCATTAAGCTAGTCTTGAAGTAGCCAACATAAAAACTATCCTGTGAATCAGCAATGAGATATTTTGGAAAACAGGGCCAGCAAGGATCATAGGAAATTTTAGTTTCTGAATACTCAAACTGAAAGAACCTAAAAAGTCAGAATGACAGCAGTCTCTGACGTCAGAGACTACTGAAGAGGCCTAAAAGTCATAATGACACCAGTGTCACTTCATATGTGCCACTTTTCCCTGCTTCCAACCTCTGGGAGTCTTGTTGAAGCGTCATACTTTTGCCAAGCTGTGTGGTCACTTTAAAACTTAAAAACAGATTCGAAAGCTCCAGACTTATTTCACTGACAGTCTAATATATGCAGCTAAAGGTAAAAATACTGTGATGTAGGTCCCTTGACCTGAAAACAACAGTGGAAGATCGGGAGGCAATAATGATACATTACAATGGAAGGTCTTTGTTATTACCTAAGGCAATTTGGTCTCACCACCTTTTTGTATGGTGAATCACTGAATGAATGTGGTTGACTGTGGACCACAAAGAATACATGAAAACTACTCTTGGCTTGGTTAAACAGCCATGTAGCTCTGAGAAGTTATTTAACCTCATTTGAAAAATAATTGACTTGAATTAGGTGATCGGTAAGGTTCTTTCAGATCATTATCACTTATTTTTGTCAATTCTGTCCATTCTATCCATCTCAACTGAAGTTCAAGTGTTTCAAAAGTGTCACATAAACTGCCTGAGACCTAAATTGTTAAAATGTGACCTGTTCCATAATTATTGTCTATTATATGGCCTGTTGAACATACCAACTGCTCAACTCTAGCTTCCAGATGAAAGCTAGATAGAGAAGTCAAAAGGGCCAAAACCTATAGGTTCACAAGTTCTAATTTTTTTTCATTTTCAGAAAAATTGACTAGGTTACTTTGGACAATTTTTTTAACATCTTGATTCCATTTGCGAGATAAGAAGAATAGCACAAAGCCTTTAAGAAAAGTTGCTGGGCACGGTGGCAGAGGCCTGAAATCCCAGTGACTCAGGAGTTTGAGGCAGAAGGATGGCAAGTTCAAGAATAGCCCTGGCAACTTAGCAAGACCCCATCACAAAATAAAAAATTTAAAAGGCTGGGGATGTAGCTCAGTGGTAGAGGGTGCCCCTGGGTTCAATCCCTATTACCAAAGATAAAAAAGCTGTGTCAAACCCTATTTTAAAAATAGCTTTTAAAACAAACAAACAAACAAACAAAAAACTTTTAAGTCACTGAGCCAGAAAAAAAGGCAAATTGTTAAAGAAAATAATTTTATTCATTTGCCTGGTATGATCTGGGGAAAAAAAGATATAAAGTAGGTTGTGGTTAACTAATACAGATGGGCTTCTGAAACTTCTGAAATTGGTATGTGGCAGCAGAGTGCTGGAAAGTAGACTGGCCTAGGAAGTCTAGTGCTCATAATCAGCGACTATCCTTAAAATCCTTTTACCTCTATGACCTCTGTTTCCTTGTGTGGTCAATACGAATAGTGGTGTTCCAACATTTACTCCCTCCTTGAATTACATCAGGTGACTAAGGAAGATGAGGTTCTCAAAGAAAAGTGCTTTACAAATAAGTATCCAATTGTTAGCAGTTGGTCACAAACTATTAAAATTAGGAGCAGGTTTCCTATAGAAAGCAATTTACCAAAGCAAGGACAGCTACTCCCAGCCTACTTCCTAAGTTTCTTTTATGGAGCACAAAGAAAAAATAACTTCAACAGTTCAGATCCCTGAACTGGTGCATTTCCAGTTATTGAATTATAGAGCTGGTCCAGGAAACACTCCTTGGCTCAGTAAGTGGATGTATATCCCCATCTCCACCCACAAAGCACAGCAAGGAATGCTGCTGGCCCATGTGCCCAGTTCATTTCTGCCTTGAACAAATTTTTTCCCCTCAGAATAGCTCAAATAATAGAGAATAAAAGCTTCTGAAGATTCTGCCCTCGCCGACACATGCAAAGCATTAACATGACATCTGCTACAATGTGAAGGATGGAACTAAGCAGTTACCCCAGCACAGTGACAACCAAGTGAGGGAAAGCTTGTACAGGAGAAATGTAACCAATTGTTCACAAGTGAAATCTCCTGTGCTTCACAGACACAACACTTACAGCTACACTACCAGTGAGCAATGTTGGGCATTAGTTTCAAAAAACAGGCTTATGATCATCAAAAGTGAGTCTTCTAACTATGTCACTCTGAGAGTTACATAAGCCCCTGGATATTCCTCCCAGTTGTCTTTTTACCAACCTGAAACCAATAAATTATGTAACAATTCTAAAAAACATCGTAGCTTGAAAATATTCTTTTAAAACACAGCCATGAGAAAAAGGAATTTACAGGCAGACAAGATAGGGTTTGACACACATTAAACCAAAACATATCCTCACTTTTTGACAACAGAAAGACATATCACTTAGGGATCTTTAAAATCAATGATGGTCTCATTACCTTAAACTTTCCATTAGACAAATTTGCTATTGCCCACAAACACTTTAGAATGATAAATAAATAATTTATAGTGAGTATACTAGGGGAGGGTGATAACAACATCTAAAGATTGAAGGGAAAATGCAAAAGAATACCTTGGTACCCTGGGAAGGAAATGCCTCTTCGAAATCTGCCAGGATTTGCTGTCCTAGCTCCGTTTGCGCAGCCTTCACTCTGTGAGGGAGACAGAACGTACCATTGCATGCCATAATCTTCAAATACCAGTATGTAATTATGCACCAGTTCAGGGATCTGAACTGTTGAAGTCTTTAGAGATTCTCTAAAGAGGGCTATGTGTCTATATAAGAAAAGCCACTCATTAGTAACTGGTTTACAACCAGGACCAAGGCACCTGATTTATTCTCAGGATGGATTTTCTATATTCCCAAAGTTCTAGGTTACTCTTCACCTGTCATGAGATAGTATATGTTAATCTCTGCAACATTTCATTTGGTACTTATGCTTCAGAAACATGTAATGTAATAGTACTTGATTCAAACATAAATCCATTTTGCACTACTAGTATAGCTGCTTTCCCACTCCTCTAAAGTAAAAAGAAAAAGCCAAGTGATCAAATGTACTCAACAAGAGTTAAGACTAATGAATGAAGATTTATATTCAGGGACAGTGAACTGCAAGGAAAACCAGTTAGAAAGGGGCACCTGGAACTTGACAGTGGTTTGCATGTATAACAGAAGCTCAAGAGAAACTTGTCAATTTGAATAAAGAGGAGAAAGGAGAACAGGGAGGATGAGACAGGAATTGTGCATCAGCATGCCTGCAATTGACCTGTCCTCCAGGATGCCCTCTTGCTGTCTGATGCTGGTGAGGCCTGCTTGCCCCAGCCAGCCCCCACAGCTTGAGTGGAGCAAAGCTCTGAAGCCACTATTGCACTGCCCCTAGCCTGAGGCAAATTCTTTATCTTTGCTAAAAGCACCATAAAATAGCATGTTTCCTTTCTTGGTCTCCACCCTGTTACTTCTGGATTAACTTTATGAAGTTTCTAGAAATAGTGAGCAACTCAAAACCACAATTTCTTTGGCCACTAAGGAGTACTTATTTTTTATTTATTTATTTATTTTTGAATGAGGGGCTAGGCATGACCCAAGACAGTCTGCTTTTTCTGTGGCAGAGTTATAATTATGCCTATTCCAAATACTTTCCAGGGTTTTTCCACTATCTTCAAAACTTTTCAAACCACTTGTATAGGCAGGTTTGCAGCCTTTTAAGTCAGTTTTCAAGTGGGCCACAAATGACCCAGATGGAACAGCCCTCCAGATTAGTCAGGGCTGCCCACCTAGATGGGGCCCAACAGATGATGGGAAACAGCTCTTGAGTGTGAACTATGATAGGAAAGAAAAGAATGTGCTTTCATAAAACTGTATCACACAACATCTTGTGACTGCCTCAGAATGACCCAGCAGATGGCCTCCTATGGTGCCAGGTCACAAGACTGAGCTTCCAAAAGCTCAGGCCCCTCTGTTCCTACCCTCTTCTTGGAAGTACACAGAGAGCACCCAGTTCTTTCCTAAGCCATGGGGACATTCCCGTAGGGGAAGTCCTACCTTGGCCAAATGTACTCATGGCTGTATTCTCAGGGTTACTGACCTCTTCAATGATACTGAATGACACAGCTCTGACTCTATCACCCCCATCACTCCCAACCTCCATGTTCTTGCTGAACTTGACCCTGAGGTGGCTGAAAAGATAGAATCTATGATGGGACTAGGCCCTGCTGGAGCACAGAAGAGAAGGAATCACTAGACTTTGATTTGTAATGATCTCTAATCCTTGTTCAAAGTTACCTCTTCAGACAAGTTAGACTTAGATATACATGAGCCACATGTAATCATAAGTCACTTCTTCTACATAAGCCACAATTAAGAACTGTTGTGATATAAGAGGGTGGAGACCTGTATGAGATAATTTTCAATGTCCTCTCCAGTACTGATTATTCTACGATACCTCTCTGATAGTTATACCTAGCAATGGCATTCATCTTTACAGATGGCTACAAGTTGGATGTATATATTTTTTGTTGTTGTTATGGTGGTGGTGCTGGGGATCAAACCCAAGGCTTTGTGCATGTGAGGCAAGCATTCTACCAACTGAGCCATATCCCCAGCCCCATAACTTTTTTTTAGTATGTAACGCTACAGGAATTTGTGTGTTGTCCTTGTGTAGGGGCCATGCTAATCTTCTCTGTATCATGATTTTAGTATATGTAGTGCTGCTGAAGTGAACACTGAATATATAATTAATGCTGAGCAAAAGAAAAAGTTTTTGCCTAGAAGTGTTACCATCAATAGTTTTGTTTTGTTTTTTTTATACTGGGGACTGAACTCAGGGGCACTCAATCACTGAGCCACATCCCCAGCCTTATTTTTTATTTTATTTAGAGACAGGGTCTCACTGAGTTGCTTAGCTCCTCGGTTTTGCTGAGGCTGGCTTTGAACTCAGGATCCTCTTGCCTCAACCTCCCGAGCCGCTGCGATTACAGGCATATGCCACGTGCCCAGCTTCAGTAGTTTTTGAAGCGTTTACTAGTGACTCATATGAAAGAACAAATATTCTCTTGTAGACATTATTGATGGTACCTATAAACCTCAATGATCCCAAGTATTTTCATGGTGACATTTGAATTGTAGTCTTTATAATCAACTGCCTAAGGAAGATCCTAGAAATAAGTCAACAGACACATTACTTGTATTCACTCCTTTAGATTCATTCCTCTTCTAAAAATGGAAAGCAAATTCTTACTATAAAAAGATGGATCAATGGAGACTCATCAGCAGAGCAAATATCTGAGTTGAACTACCAAGATTTCCTAGTCATTCTTAGGAAAGTTAGCTTATAACTAATAGAGACTAGGATAAACAGACATTCCTTCTATCATCCAAATAAGCTCAGCTTGTTATGCTGTGGTAACACTAAGTTGATTACTTGTAGAAAATGAAAGATTCACTGAACTACCCGGAAAGGAAAATCAACCAGTGGCTTTCAGCATCCAACATGTCATGTGATATGGGTATTGTTCAAATGTGCCCTCTCTTAAATGTCTGGTTAATTTTTCATAATGAGTGGTGGCAGAGGGACAACAAATTATGATAATTATTTAGACACTTGTAGATGAAGTAACCTTGACTTTCTTGTTATCTTGTGAGTGACAGTTCCAAAGAAAATACCTTCAACAGTTCCCAAAATAATGGAGTAACCTCCTGAATACAGCTGTGCTGAACAGAAAGATTAATTCTATTTGCTCTTTCCAGTAAGAACTAGAAAGAATCTCAACCTGGGGCTGTGGTTGTAGCTCAGTGGTACAGCACTTGCCTACCATGACTGAGGCACTGGGTTAGATCCTCAGCACCACATAAAAATAAATAAATATTCTTTTTAATTAAAAAAAAACAACAACACCAGAATCTCAATCTAAGTCACAGAGTGACTGATTGAGTGGGATACTTTTGGGATCATCAAGGGCAATCCACATGGTTTGAAACTGAGAAAGAGGCCCAGAAAGAACTTGTCAAACAGTCAGGCCTGTTCATTCCTTGGTTTAGTTCTTTTTTTTCTACACCATGTGACCTCCCAACCTGCCAAACTTCTCTCACATGTAGGAGGTTAGAAATAGCTCTGAAAAATACATTTTAGTTTGGTTTCAAGGTTTTGAAGAGAATGCAAGAATCTTCCATTTTTTGGGGGGGAGGGGAGAATACTGACTAGAAACATTTGCTTTCATGGATATGCTTAAGCCAGGAAGATTTGAAATGTAAAGATATTAAGGACAAAAAAATCTTTCCTTCAATACTACATTAAATATTTAAGCATTTGCCAGAAGGGTAGTTGGAACAAATAGCAAATCAAAGCCCATGAACTTCATATTTCAAGCCTACAGGCAAAGACTTTAGAACACATTCTTTTATGTGATTTCTATGATTTATAGACAGCAAGATATTAGATTAGAGAAACTGAAGCAATGCATAGGGCGTAACTCTCCTGCTGTCACCCCTCCCTCCGAACAAACAGCTATTTCTATCATTTCCAGATGGTTCTATGATCACTATGTAAACATAAGGGAGGAAAATTCACCAGAAATAATGCTAAAAATAAGAAGTCTGGACTTTCCTCCAATTTTAGTTGAGCACTGAAAACAAGAAGCTTTCTCATCTTCCGTTCGTGTGTGTGTGTGTGTGTGTATGTGTGTGTGTGTGTGTTGCTGGGGATGGAACTCAGGGCCTTGTACATGCTAGGCAAACACTTCACCACTGAGCAATACCCCAGCCCATCCTGTGTTCCTTTTTAGTGCTACTTAACAGCACATACTCTATTAATTTACATAAAATTATTTTAAACAGAGGATATGAAAAAAATTAAAGGAAACATAGGCCCTCCTGTGTTGCAGCAATCCTACATGATAATGAATGTGGACTGAAAGATATTGATAGAATGTTGAATTTTCTTTTTTTAAAGGAATGTCTAGAAACATAAAAATCTTATGTTTCTAGCCCCATTCTAACAGTGATCACATGGTTCCTTTAAATTTAAAACTATATCTTTGAAAAATGTTAAAAAGCAAAGAACACACCAAAAACTTAGGCAGCACATGTAAAAAAGCCAAATGGAACTACATTCAACTTAAAATCTTCTGCACAGCAAACGAAATACGAACTATATATCCTATAAAGGGTTAATAGTAAAAATATAAAGGAGCTTATAAACTCAATAGCAAAAAATCAAATAACCTAAATAAATTTTGGGAAAAGGACCCCCAAAAGACATTTTTCCAAAGGATACATACAAAATACCAACAGGTAATGTGAAAAAATGGTCAACATCACTTAATCATCAGGGAAATACAAATCAAAATCCCAGTGAGATATCATCTCATAGGCAATGGGATGACTATTATCAAAAGGACAAAACATAAGGCCAGGGTATGAGGCAGACATACACTTGGTAGATGCAAATTGGTATAGCCCTATGGAAAATAAAAATTGAGGTTCCTCAAAAAATTAAAAATAAAACTACCATATGACCCAGTAATCCTCTTCTGTGTGTATAACCCCCCAAAATAAAAGCAACACCTCATACTACAGGTATCTGTCCTCTTATGTACGCAGCAGTACTATTCACAATAGTCAAGTGAAAAGTCAACCTAAGTGCCCACTGTTAGG